TAGAACTAAGTTTTAAGTAGTAGTAGAGCTCCTTTTGACAGAATTCGTCCAGGGAAGTACTATCACTTTACCTATTTCTGCGCCAAGCGGGAATGTGAGTCAGACATGTGAGTGAGTTACTTAGTAGTAGTAGACTGACTCATTTTTTGAGAGAGTTTTCAATGTCCCATCATCAGTAACGACAATTTTATTGTTAACACCCCGACATCGACCGGGTCAATTGACAGTATAGCTCGTATTGATATTAATCTAAGTCTGGTACATAAATTGTTGGTAGCACTAGATCGTGACAAACCCCTGGCTATGATAATATCCCTCCAGTATTTTTAATAAAATGTGCCGATAGCCTAACCGCTCCTATCACTTTGTTCTTGAAAATCCTTAAAATCACTCAAATTTTTCTTACAATATGGAAAAGGCCCAAATTCATGCCCATACATAAAAAAGGGTCAAGGTCCTCCTTTAAAAATTATAGGCCAATCTCTATTTAAAATGTTCTAAGCAACGTTTTTGAGTAAATTATTTACACTTATATTTATCCCATTATTACTCATGGAATTACATCGGAACAATATGGTTTGTTAAAATCGAGATGTACAGTAAGAAATTTTTCTAATTTTTATAATTATGTCATTAATGAAATGGAGAGTGGAGGTCAGGTAGACGCGGTCTACACTGGCTTCCAAAAAGCCTTTATTTGTGTTGACCACGACATCCTTCTTAACAAAGAAGTTCTTGGCTCTAAATACCTATTCACGGTGACCTACTTTGATGGGTTCGTTCCTATTTATCCAACCGCTCCCAAGCCGTTATCGTGGATGGTATCAAGTCGGACTACGATGTTCCATCTGGAGTGCCCCAAGATTCACACTTGGGTCCTCTCTCTAAAGAAATTCTCGCCACCTCTTATAAGAGGTTGCGTATACGCAAACGGTAAAAAAGTGATTCTCTCCGTGAGATCATACACAGACTGTCAATGAATACAAGACGACTTAAACAATATATTTGCTCATTATACAAGCAATAACATTACTGTATATATAAACAAATGCCAATGTATCAGTTACACGGGGAAAAGGTTACCCATATTTCTATATAATTTTAATGGCATATTAATAGCCAGACTTGAGCAAGTACGCGATCTTGGAGTAATAATGGACAATAAAATGACTTTTGTTCCACGCATAGACTGCATAGTAACTAGGCCCTCCATAGTTGGGATTTGTTATGTGTACATGTCAACCGTCCAACGACATTTAGTCCATAAACACTATTTATTTCGCATACGTCCGCAGTGTGCTCGAATACGCTAGCCCCATCTGGTATCCGATTCACAACATTCACAAAAACCATATGGAACGCATCCAGAAAAAATAAGTAAAATTCTTCAAGTTTAAGGTTAAATATAATGTTGATTCCTATACCGATAGTTGTCGAAAATTCAATTTGAAGACACTTGACGATAGAAGGGTCTTGTCTGATTTAGTTTTACTGTATGACATTATTGGAAACCGGCTTGATGCTTCTGAACTCGTCTCTGTCATTGGATTTTCTCTTCCACGTCATCGCACTACACATACCATTGACTTACAATTATATGGACGTCGGGTCTGCGCTAAAAAGTGTCCGAACTTATAGGGCTTTAAAATCGTATACAGAGCGTCATTCACGCTTTAGTTTTCGTTTGTTCGACTGACAGCGAAGCAAGCAAAATTAAACAGTACTGCGATGACATTGCAATTTAAATTCAACGTTTTAGCTTTTTCATATTCCTTTACATGTCACTACGTTTAAATAGGTTGACTTGGGACATTTTTTTTCGTGGTTTTGTATTAGACCCGTCGTCCATTTATTTGTAAGTCAATGAGACATACACGATTATTTAGTGTACCCCATCACTCAACTAATTATGGACAAAACGCAGTGCTCACAAGGACATGCCGAGGGTAAATATAACAATATCTCTCATGTAATAGATTTGTTCACTGAGTCAAGACCTATAAGGACTTGGTATGCAAGAATATTGCGGTTATGGAATGAATCGCAGAGTTAATAATGATGGTTGCTATTATTTGATTATTATTGAACTACATATATCCACATACTGTTGTTTTTTTACCTGAAGTTTTTTTTTTCCTTTATTTAAAATATTGAGGGGTTTTTTCACACAGTGAATATGCCACCCCTAACGTTCTGCGTTACATTGCTACCGTCTACTGATACACTTATTTACTAATTTATATAGTGCCTTAGCCACGTCCGATGTGGGCGAGGAAAGGATGCTATTAAAGGTACCGACATTGACTCGATGGAGGTACCTACCTGAAATTATTTAATTTTTACCCTTTAGGAGGACGAGTATTGTTTATTGTAACTCTTGTTCTCTTTTATTTAATGACAACCTCCGTTGTCGACTGGCTTACACATTGGTTTTCATAGTGTCACCATCTCTGAGCTCCCGGGTTCGATCCTCGGCCGAGTGTGGAACTAACTCTTCAATATTGTCTCGGGTCTAAGTGTTTATGGTACCGTCGTTGTATCCGATTTCCATAACACAAGGCTTTAGTTACTTACTTTGGGATCAGAGCTACTTAACATCGTCTAATATGCACTTACCTGTTCAGTTTGTCAATGCGAGGCAATCTGTTTATTACGACTAAGTTATAAGTATGTGTAATCTTTGTGATTTAAAGATCTGAGCGGTTCTGCAATTGTTATGGACGCGTGACCACCAAACACACGACTTATTCGTCCCTTCACTTGGTGTCATAATAAAAATGACAATACCTACCTAATAAAGGCATAGGCAGTGTTACTTTTGGACCTTGGTATATATTAACTTATGCATTACTATTCATTTTGTCGCAAAAAGAAATTAATTTATTAATATTCCCTAACACGGTGACGTACAAATCGTCAGCTTTGAAAGAATCCAATTCCCATAAGGTATGATATACAATTCTCATACAGAATTCAGCCTTGTCTTGGTACAGCGCTCTCCTAAAAACAAGTTTAAGAATTCAGATCTCTACATGCTGTGAAGAGTCAAACATTGTATTGTATTCAAGTTTGCTTCCGTCATTTGTAGTGCGAGTGAGTACTAGAAAACTAAACTCGAATTATTTGAAAAAACTCAGCGGAATAGACTACTACTGAAAAACAATATCGACTTTAAAAACTTCGAAACAATAGTCCAGGGAGGTTGTTACTATATTGCAAATAACACACGTGTGTGTGTGTGTGTGTGTGTGTGTGTGTGTGTGTGTGTGTGTGTG